AGCCTTTCGGCTTTGTCGCTTGGTCCTCAGATCCTAGGTCCTTTATCAGGTCCTCAGGTCCTTAGATCTTCGGTCCTCGCTTGGTACTCAGAGCTCTCGGTGGTTCAGTGGCCGCCGGCTAGCAGAGGTGAGTGACCGACAATGGCGAGATCGGCCGCCTTATATACCCCTCGAAAAGGGGCGGGGCCGGCTGTGATTGGTCACACCAACTCGGAAGGGGCGGATAGTTTTTGTATGGAAAGCCTATGCTTAACCACACGAATTGGACCGCCCACTTTGGACCGCCCCTTGCCCCGCCCCCTTGCAGGGGTATATAAGGCGAGGCGTCGCTGCACCGGTCATTTCCGGTGGTTGCCTCGTGCCGGACGGTTGCCTCATTCGGAGGACAACCATCGGATGCCTCAATCGGGGACTTCCACCAGATGCCTCACTTGGAGGAGAACCATCAGATGCCTCACTCGGAGGACATCTACCAGATGCCTCACTTGGAGGACAACCATCGGATGCCTCACTCGGCGGACAACCATCGGATGCCTCACTCGGCGGACAACCATCGGATGCCTCACTCGGCGGACAACCATCGGATGCCTCACTCGGAGGACATCCACTCGGTTGTTCGCCTCCATTCGGAGGTACAACCACTCGGTTGTTCGCCTCCATTCGGAGGTACAACCACTCGGTTGTTCGCCTCCATTCGGAGGTACAACCACTCGGTTGTTCGCCTCCATTCGGAGGTACAACCACTCGGCTGTTCGCCTCCATTCGGAGGTACAACCACTCGGTTGTTCGCCTCCATTCGGAGGTACAACCACTCGGTTGTTCGCCTCCATTCGGAGGTACAACCACTCGGTTGTTCGCCTCCATTCGGAGGTACAACCACTCGGTTGTTCGCCTCCATTCGGAGGTACAACCACTCGGTTATTCGCCTCCATTCGGAGGTACAACCACTCGGTTGTTCGCCTCCATTCGGAGGTACAACCACTCGGTTGTTGACCTCCATTCGGAGGTACAACCACTCGGTTGTTCACCTCCATTCGGAGGTACAACCACTCGGTTGTTCACCTCCATTCGGAGGTACAACCACTCGGTTGTTCGCCTCCATTCGGAGGTACAACCACTCGGTTGTTCGCCTCCATTCGGAGGTACAACCACTCGGTTGTTCGCCTCCATTCGGAGGTACAACCACTCGGTTGTTCGCCTCCATTCGGAGGTACAACCACTCGGTTGTTCGCCTCCATTCGGAGGTACAACCACTCGGTTATTCGCCTCCATTCGGAGGTACAACCACTCGGTTGTTCACCTCCATTCGGAGGTACAACCACTCGGTTGTTCACCTCCATTCGGAGGTACAACCACTCGGTTGTTCGCCTCCATTCGGAGGTACAACCACTCGGTTGTTCGCCTCCATTCGGAGGAACAACCACTCGGTTGTCTCCATTCGGAGGAACAACCACTCGGTTGTCTCCATTCGGAGGAACAACCACTCGGTTGTCTCCATTCGGAGGAACAACCACTCGGTTGTCTCCATTCGGAGGAACAACCACTCGGTTGTCTCCATTCGGAGGAACAACCACTCGGTTGTCTCCATTCGGAATAACAACCACTCGGTTGTCTCCATTCGGAGGAACAACCACTCGGTTGTTCGCCTCCATTCGGAGGTACAACCACTCGGTTGTTCGCCTCCATTCGGAGGTACAACCACTCGGTTGTCTCCATTCGGAGGAACAACCACTCGGTTGTCTCCATTCGGAGGAACAACCACTCGGTTGTCTCCATTCGGAATAACAACCACTCGGTTGTCTCCATTCGGAGGAACAACCACTCGGTTGTTCGCCTCCATTCGGAGGTACAACCACTCGGTTGTTCGCCTCCATTCGGAGGTACAACCACTCGGTTGTTCGCCTCCATTCGGAGGAACAACCACTCGGTTGTTCGCCTCCATTCGGAGGTACAACCACTCGGTTGTTCGCCTCCATTCGGAGGTACAACCACTCGGTTGTCTCCATTCGGAGGAACAACCACTCGGTTGTCTCCATTCGGAGGAACAACCACTCGGTTGTTCGCCTCCATTCGGAGGTACAACCACTCGGTTGTTCGCCTCCATTCGGAGGTACAACCACTCGGTTGTCTCCATTCGGAGGAACAACCACTCGGTTGTCTCCATTCGGAGGAACAACCACTCGGTTGTCTCCATTCGGAATAACAACCACTCGGTTGTCTCCATTCGGAGGAACAACCACTCGGTTGTTCGCCTCCATTCGGAGGTACAACCACTCGGTTGTTCGCCTCCATTCGGAGGTACAACCACTCGGTTGTTCGCCTCCATTCGGAGGTACAACCACTCGGTTGTTCGCCTCCATTCGGAGGTACAACCACTCGGTTATTCGCCTCCATTCGGAGGTACAACCACTCGGTTGTTCGCCTCCATTCGGAGGTACAACCACTCGGTTGTTCGCCTCCATTCGGAGGTACAACCACTCGGTTATTCGCCTCCATTCGGAGGAACAACCACTCGGTTGTTCGCCTCCATTCGGAGGAACAACCACTCGGTTGTCTCCATTCGGAGGAACAACCACTCGGTTGCCTCCATTCGGAGGAACAACCTCTCGGTTGCCTCCATTCGGAGGAACAACCGTCGGTTGTGGAACCAACCATCGGTTGCCTCTGTCGGACAACCGAGGTTGTAGCAAAAATTGAACCACTGGCTCAACACCTCCGTCGAGGTGAGCCATTCGGCCACCTCAGTCGAGGCGGAACCCGCGGTTCGCTCGCTGAAAGCGTACGGATATATCAACACTCGGTGAAACCGGAATTTTTACAGAAAAATCAAAAATGTTTGTATCTCGTCTCAGAGACATCCTGGGATCTTGCGTCAAAAAAACGTATATGCTAACTTTTGATGGCCAATCCAGCGGTGCTACTTACATATTTTTTTTCCTTCTCATTCGAAGACGCCATCATGATTTCCTCTCAATAAATTTAAAAGACCCCTAGAAAAACGGTTTTTTTTTCTTAAAATATTTTTGTATGTTTGACCACATATACAATGTGTGCATGCAAAAATTCAACAGTTTGTCTAGGTCTATTAGAACCTGAAATCGAAGAGTGTTTCATGAATAAAACATTTTTCAGAATACGCCAAAAAATCAAAATTGTTGTGATTTTAAATGATCAGTGTACTCTTTTAATACATCTGATCGTGGCATTAGCACTCGAACTATTTTAGGGAGGCTGTTTTGTAATCAGCGCACTCGATTATACGTTACCGAAATCCAATCCCAGATGACAGGAGAAATATTTTGATTCAGGAGTGAGGATGATATATAAAGAATAGCTCGCTTGAATAAGCATGACCAAGTACCAACTTATATCTTTCTAATCCAGGGCTCTAAAAAAGAAAATATTGGGTATTCTCACGAACCGCTACTACATTCCATAATCAGCATGCTCAGTACTCCACTGTGCCAACTCCCAGTCCCGTAGCTTGAACTTGCAAAAAAATCGATAAAATTGGTAAAAGTAATGGACAATTTCAAAAACTAATTTTGTATTCGTAATCAGCATGCTCGATTACCCCCCTGTGCCAACTCCCAGCCCCCTAGCTCAAATTTTGCAAAAAATCGATAAAATCGATAAAAGTAATCGATAATCCTGAAAACCAATATTGTATTCGGAATCCCCATGCTCGATTACCCCCCTGTGCCAACTCCCAGCCCCGTAGCTCAAACTTTGCAAAAAAATCGATAAAATCGATAAAAGTAATCGATAATCCCGAAAACCAATATTGTATTCGGAATCCCCATGCTCGATTACCCCCCTGTGCCAACTCCCAGCCCCGTAGGAGAACTCAGCAAAAAAATCGATAAAAATCGATAAAATCGATATCGATCGGTGACGAAAAGTAGCCTATGACACCCGCCGGGGCCCGAAGTGTATGTGTGCCAAGTTTGGTCCGGATCGGTTCAGAAATGGAATTTTCTATTCGGAACATACGTACAGACATACATACATACATACATACAAACAGACATTCAGCTTTATATATAAGATACGTTATTGTCGTTAGCAAATTAGTGTCTGTTTCATCCCTACTTCCTGTAATGAGATATTACGTGTAGTGGATTCAGGCGCACTGTTTTTGATAGATTTTTATTGGTAAACTAGCTTGTGTGTACCTTTTTCGCTAGTATATAGGTTCGAACGTTAATTGCTAACGTTTTATGTGAAAAAGCCTTTTTCCATTACCAAATCCATTTTCCTAAGTACCTGTCTATACAAAGGGAGTTGACCAGATTGATTGAAAGGGGTTCTCAAAAATCATATCGAAAACTTCGAAAGGTTAGTTGCGAACATGAGGGGAGATATTTCCATGACATGACTGCTGAAAAGAAAAATGCGTCAATTTAGATTACTTGGCTATCACCATTTTGACTGATTTGTAGAAAAATCAAAGCAAAGTATGGAAAGTCATTACCTTTGTCTCAACTTAGTAGTTTTTTGTTCAATTTTATGAACATCATTCAGACAAAGGGAGTTGAAAAGGGCTCATCACATTAGAATCAACTCTACTGCTTCAAACATACGACACTTAAATATAGGGTCCCAAAAAGTGTCGTATTCTATTGTAATAATAGTTTTGTCTGAGTTCTCAAAGAACTTTAGGTGGCAGGTTGTCCTGGCCTTAACTCAAATTTATATTACGACATCAATTCCAACCCCTCTTTGTAGAATTACGGTAGGAATTGCCAATTCAGTGTCGTCTTTGCGAAACAGCTGCCATATAAGAAAAATTCCTAAATTTCTGAAATAAAAATTTGCAGACTCGTTGATTTTAGCGAATCACTTTGAGAACCGCCGTTGTTCGAATAAGAGTTATCTGTGGGCAAAAATGATTAATTTCGCTACACAGCACACCCTATATTGACCTTTGGATCTTGTACCAATTTAACTTGATACCTTTTCAGATGCATTCCATATTCAAGTACGCAATCGAGTAATAACTGTAAAACCATTTATTCATTGCTAAAAACTAGCCAATATCTGTCAAACAATAGTTGGTCAATAAATGCGCACATGCATGTAGATATACACTGCAGCTTCTCATATTAAAACTACTGCGTGTATTACTATCAATGATGTAAGCATTTCAGAAAGCAACAATTGTTTTGGTGCGTGGTAGGATGCAAGAAAAAAGCATTTCAATTTGCACAATTGACTTTTTGCACATAGAAAATTCTTGTGTAGTTATAACGTGTTAATTTGGGAAATTCAGGAAACATGGAATTTGGGTTACCTTCGGTGTCAATAACAGTGACGAATCTTGGCTTGGGGCTACATAGGTACTGCGCAATAGCGTAAGGCGATTTTGCATTGTAATTAAGGCAAGCGAATGGAACTTCACTTTTACATAGATAATTATTATCTTCCGTAGTGTACATCCAATCCGCAATGCCTGGAATTAAAGTAGTGGTAACGAAACGAAAATGTCAAATAAAAATAAAACTCCTACTGATTCGCTGTGAACACACGGTTAACGTGCAACCGTCCAACTCGGAAGATGAGGGTGAGAATCTGAATCTCTAGAATTACCGGCTCATAATCGACTTACGAATGATGTGTAAGCATACAAGCAAGTGCGTATGTCATCCGGTGTTTCAGCCAAGCTCGTCTTTGTTACGGCTTCCCATTCACTATAGTTATATCTACGATCGCATATGTCGTCGATCGATAATTTTACAGTCGGTTTTTTGGTATTATTTTGCGGTCTAGATACAGTTGCAGTTGGGCAAGATGTGTTAAAACTGCCTGTCACACTTCTGAATGTGCGATGCAAACTGCTGTTGATCTAAATTGTGTACTCATGTTACAAATCAAAGCATATGAAGAGCCAACCAAGACGTAGAGGACGACAATTAGAAGCCAGTACGGCTTCGCATAAAAGAAGCTCATCTTGCTAGCGGCAGCTCCTGGTCGAAGCTCTTTCGATACTGAATTAGCGCTTCTCTCACTATCTCACGCCCCTTTGAATACGAGAAAAAGCAAAAGAGGCGGTGCTTCCTTTTAGTCAATAGGGAGAGATGTGATACCGTAGCCTGAAAACGAGCAAAATGTATATCTAATATCCAGTGCTAAGGTAGTTTTTGAGAATTCGCCATATTTCTTTGAAACACCTGAGGATTTCTATCACCAAGATTGTAAGGAAGAAAAAATACACAAATCAAATGAAGTGTTCTACATTCTTGATGCAACCAACGCTGAAAATAATTACTTTTACAGGAAGTTATTCCAGGCTATTATTACAAACTTTATCTACCTAGAATACTTATCAAATAATCGCCGGGGCAAGCGTTTTTGCAGGCGGTCAGCAGAATTTTGGGGCATGGCCAAAACTTCAGCGAGCGGTACTTCCTTTATTATTGCTGCCCGCATGTCCCAGCGGGAAGCAATACAGGATTTCTGCGAGCGGTCGTCAAAAGAATTTCTTTTAGCGGACTGGCCAAATTCAATAAACACTCTAACTCTCTTACGCAGTTTTAAGCATACTCCGAACAAAGGTAACACTCTATATGGCAGAGGTGCCATCGTTGCTTTAATTACCATTGGGGGTACTTTTCTCAGCGGATGGTACCTACGGGCTGCGTGCGGCCCTCAATAATTTTGCATATTCTCGCGTCGTGACTAATAGAAAAATTGCGATTGTTTCCGAGCATTCTTCTAAAAACTGACCAACATTTTTCCAAATTTGTGCAAGTAAACCGCAAGAAATCAGCGAACTATTTTTCCGATGCCCGCTTGTTCAAAGATGCCGACTGCCCCCGGCGATTATCTGAGTAGATGGCCTGTCCTCACACGTCGTGTGGATCCCAACTTTTGACCATTCGTTACGATTTCGTGCAATTGTCATCCATGAACGTCTTGGTACGAGATTGCGATTGCTATCGGACGATCCTGAATAAAGCTCCACTGCTTGCGCAGCTGCTCAGATAATCGCCGGAGGCAGGCGGACCCAAAATCGCACCTTTCTGCAGGCGGTCAGCAGAATTTTGGGTTGTGACCAAACCTTCAGCGTCGCATATTCTGCCAGCGGGCAGCGATGCAGCATTTTCTGCGAGCGTTGGGCAAATAATCTCTTTCAGCGAGCGCTGACCAAACCTTCAGCAAGCGCTCGGACTTTTCTATGCAGTTTCGTGCGTAGGCCGAGCAAAGGTGAGACTCTAAGGCCCGTATGCACGTACATCTACGCAGGGAGGGGATGCGCGCTTAACCATTGAAATGATCCCCGCTGGGGCTCCCCTCCCTTCCCCACGCGAACTCCCGTATGCACAAAGACAATATCGGGGAAGGGATCCCCTGGAAGTAGGGGAAGGGAACCCCCTTATGCAGAAGGGTGATCGAGCGGGGAAACTATTTCGCTTCCGCTTTTTGTGGTAATTACTCCTCTTTTCTTATCTTTTGGTAGCTACTCGCCTCCAGCGTGTCATCGGCAATAAATCAGTCGTTGCGGAATGCCGTCTGCCTTGATTGCGCTCGGCGCACCAAAAAAAATATTTCTCACGCACAATATATTCCTGCTGTTTTCATGGATGTTGCTCATTTTCCATAATGCTGCCCATTTCAGCATAAAAGTTTCCAAAATTAGAAGTCATGATGTCTCTGCAGTGAATGATTAGAAGATGTTATGCTGCCGAGAAAAAAGGGGAAGGGTGCCGCGGATATTCAAACCAGCATTTCTACACGCAACAGAAGCTGCTAATCGCACCAGCTCTTCATGGAGGCTGTAGCGATTAGCGACATACCGTCCATTCCCCGAAGGGAATGGTCCCCAGCGGCCAACCCTGCTATGCACGAGGGGAACGCTGGGGAACGGATCACTCCCCTGGGGATCTCTACTCAGAAATAGGCAAATCTGCTTCTTTCTAGATTTTTTCAAGGCAGCTTATGTTAAAATGACAAGAAAACGGCAACATGTCATGAAATATGAAAGTTACAATGTGTTTAATTAGCCTATATGGCAAAAATTATCATGTCATATAAAAATTGCGCAGTTTTCGTTAATGTTAAGAACTCCTACAAATATTCGAATTGGCAGCCATTATATGCTCGGGTTTCTTCTCAAGAAGCGAAAACTGAAGAGGGAGATAAGATTGCAAGCTGCAGGTCTCCGAAGGGAAATCCAGCCTTTGAAGAAAATCCTTTCATTAAATGAAACGGAAGGCTTTGTAATATCTGATTGAAACCAGAGTATTCGCTCTCTGGCACGATCTACACCATCGAACCCCTACTCCGTTGCAGGGGATGTCGATCCGCTCCCCCGCGTTGTTGAGCTACATTCGTGTATACGGGAGGGGAAGGGAAGGGATCAAGGGATCTCCGCTGGGGTTCGCCCAATCGATACCCCTGAAATCAACTACGGAATTTGTTGCAGCGAAAGAGTACCGCAAAGAAATGGCTAGCGATCGCTGAAAAGAAACTACAAAACTGCACACTCATGAATTCTTCTATGAGAGAGGTAAGCCATAACATAATTGCAAGGAAACCACATAAAAATAGAATCATTACTTCAAAAATCAACATTATTACTACGAAAGCACGTAACGAGTATAACAAAGCCTGAGCCAGTGATAGGGAAAAAAGAAGAGACCGAGGGAGAGAGTTATAATGGGAGAGGTGAAAGTAGAAAAAGAAGAAGACGGAGAAAAGGAACAAAGGCACTTGAAATCCCTATTTATGTACATTTTATTCCAAAAGCCATTCTAGTGTATAAAAATTGGCTGAAAATAGCTTTCTTGGCGAGGTCTTCTGGCAGTGAGCTGGATGCGACTACCGCAATGACACCATCCCCGCTGTAGGTGCAAGGGAGGGGATCGCTCCCCTCCCCTTTGGCATAGCGGGGTTCAAAGAAGGGGATTGTTCCTCTGGGGATCCAGCTCCCCTCCCCTCCTCAGCGGGGATGTACGTGCATACGAGCCTAAATGACAGAGGTATCATCGATGGTTTAATCACTCAAGTTTGGGGTACTTTCTCTTAGCGAAAGGTACATTTGGGCTGTTCGATCCTTTACAAAGGACAGTGCGGCCCTCAACCTCGTCCGCGATAATGCGCCATGGCGCAGTGAACCTTATATATAAAGCTGAATGTCTGTTTGTCTGTACGTATGTTCCGAATAGAAAATTCCATTTCTGAACCGAACCGGACCAAACTTGGCACACGTACACTTCGGGGCGGGGCGGGTGTCATAGGCTACTCTTCCTCATCGATCAAGATCGATTTTATCAATTTTTATCCATTTTTTGCAAAGTTTGAGCTACGGGGCTGGGAGTTGGCACAGGGGGTAATCGAGCATGCTGATTACGAGTACAACATTAGTTCGCCGCTATTCGGCTATCCGGGCCCCAAGAATTTTTTTTCATCGTGGAACTTGCTCAAACTTCGTGTACAAGGGTTATCTTACATGCTGATTACAGATATCACACTTTCCCCTCAGAACGTCTCGCCGTGTGGTTACGATAGGGGCACGGTAGGAAGTCAAAATCATGAATCCGGCTGGAGTTTGGTCCAGAGAACCTACTCGACATGCTGATTACAATTTCATAATCTCTCTGCATACTAGAACATTTTCGTAGAGTTATGGTGGGCGGTATGGGATCGAAAACATAGATTTGCTAAACTTCGTCTAGGGTGGTCATTTAGCGCGCAGAACATGAATATCATGCTGATTTCGCAGGATAGCGCATTTTCGTGGGTTACGGTGGGTGTACAGTAGACAGGTCGAAGTTCCAGATTTGCTCAAAACCTTACCTGTAACGGTTGACAAGTATATCGCTTATGAATATGATGCTTGCTCGCTGTCATAACGCAGTAGTGAAGTTATGGTGAGTTGCAGGGTTTGCATGGACATTTTCTCGCTTTCGGGCCAATTTAGATCCCAGATTTTCACGAAATGGGGGAAACGGTCGTTTTGCATGGTGGTCTCCAGCGCCATCCTGATAACCTGTCCCAATGCGTAACGCACGCGGCAAATCTCCCTCCCCCTGTTATTGCTTAGGCAAAAGCCGCCGAATGGTGTATTGCGCGCGCCAGTGGTCCTATAAGGGAAAGCATTACGGTCGTGGGAAACTTTTATACCACACGAATTGCCTTTATCGCGGGGATTAAGCACGATATTCTTTGAACAGCACTTTAGGTAATTCCCTGCCAAGGTTTCAGGCAGATTTATGATTTTTATCCGCTGCGACGCGAAATGACTATGATGTTAGTATCCGCGGCTCAAATAACTTCCATATGCCGAGTTTGAGCAAGACCCACCACAAAAACATTTTAGGGCCCGGATAGCCAAATAACGCCATCGGTTTTCTGAATTATCCTTACTTTTATCGATTTTATTAATTTTTTGCAAAGTTTGAGCTATGGGGCTGAAGGTTGTTGAGGGAGGTAGGTGAGCATGCTGATTACTAACACAGCGGGAATAGGGAATTGCTTGTAGAAATGGGCACAGGGAATGGTGTACAGGGATAGGAATAGAACCTTTATCGTTTTTGACAGGGCCGGGCGGAGCAGGGTAAGCCAGCTAGTCTTATATATAAAACTGAATGGTGTATGTCTGTCTGTCTGTACGTATGTGCGGAATAGAAATTTTCATTTCTGAACCGATTTGGACCAAACTTGGCACACATATACTTCGGGGCGGGGAGCGTGTCATAGGCTACTTTTCGTTATCGATCGATATCGATTTTATCGATTTTTTGCGAAATTTGAGCTACGGGGCTGGGAGTTGGCACGGGGGGGGGGTAATCGAGCATGCTGATTACAAATATCTTATTGGCAGAGCCGGGCGGAGTCGGGTTTGCCAACTAGTAATCTATAAAAGTGCGATTGTTTCCGAGCATTCGTCTGAAAATTGACCACCATTCTTCTAAATTTTTGCAAGTAGCTTGCAAGAAATCAGTGAACTATTTTTTCGGTGTTCGCTTGCCCAAAAAT